CTATCGAAAGCTCCCTCTATGTCAAGGAATGCTCCTAAGGCAATATCCTTGTGTTCAATCACACTTTATATGCGTGTACCACATTGTGTAATGCACTTTTGGTAGATTTACCTGTTTGGTAGGCATGCTGGTGTCGGAGTAGAGGATATGTCCTCAACGCCCCATCCCTGATATGCCTATCCCCTATTTTCTCCATCGTTTTCAACAAGAAAGATGACAGACTGATAGGACGATAATCCTTAGCCTTGGTATAATCAAGTTTCCCGGTCTTTGGAATAAACGTCACCGTAACCTGCCGCCAGGCTGTGGGGATGAAACCATATGCCATGCAGGCTCTATATATGTGGCATAGGTGTGGAACTGAGAGTTCTGCTCCATGCTGCAAAAGTGCCGGTACAGTTCCATCTGTTCCCGCTGACTTAAATGGTCTGAAGTTATTCGGTGCCCTTCTGATTTTTGACTGGTTAATTATGACTTTGGCCAGGTTCCAGTCTGCCCTGTTCGTCTTGCTTTGGCAAGTGTCCAGTTTTCCTGACCCTGTCCTTCGTCCAAATTATCAGTCAATTTTGAATCAGGAAAGTGAACCCTGAATAATTCTTTCAGTGTCTCCCTTCCTGTTTGAGTATACTGTCCATTAGGCAGCTTAATTGTGCTGACCTGGTTGGTCGCCTCTTTTGCCATGATCCTCATGAGGATCGCTTTGCTTTCCATATTTCTTTGTTGTAACAGGTAAGGGCTTCCTTGTAGGTGTCCTGCTGCCCTGTTCTTTTAGCTGTATTAAACAGCCTTCTTGTTTTGTTTCTAAGCCCACTCAGCTGCTCAACTGTTTACTCCACCAAGACGCTCTCCTTGGTTCGCGAGTGGTCCTAGCTGGACAATTCCGATTAAAGGACGAGATAATAGCCCATTGCAACTGGTCAACAGACTGAACAACATCCTTTATTGTGCGTATATTTTGCGAGATGCTCTCCAGATTTACCTTTAGGTCGTCATTGTAAGACTCCCAGTTGGTTCTTTTAGGATTCCTATAAGTAGCTTGATCTACTGTAATGTTAATTATTTGAAAGCATATATCCCTGTGATCCGATAGGGATGGCTCATCAGATACATGGCAATCACTTACCAGGTTTCCTATCTCATATGTCCCTAGTGTCAAATCAATAACCTTCCTATTGCAAACTACAAAGGTAAGTTCATTACCATGGTTTAGAATATTCAGGTTTGAACTCCATAAGGCTCTCTCCCCTTGGGTTAGTGCCGGTGCTCCCCCAGAAGATGTGCCTGTTAGCATCACACCCAATGATGAGTTGCATTTTCCTCCTACAGCAGTAGTTTATGATGTCCCTCATTTCCTTAGTTGGTGCTGGTTCATCCAAGTTGTATGGAAGGTAGACTGAAGCAATAATCAGCTCCCTGCTGCCTCCTCGATACGTGTATGTTATCCTTACTGCTCTCGAATCCCTAGAACAGAGCTCCATGAAAGGCATGGCATTAACATGATTCGTGATAAAACACATGTTCTTGCATTATTATTGGGTACAGCAGAGTAAACTGTTCCCCCTGTGTTAGTTAAGTCCCTTATTTGCCTTACCCTCAGGTAGTTGTTAGCACAGCTTTGCTGTGGGATCTCATCCCCTTCCCCCCCAGAGTCCGAGTTAGAGGATACTGTATCTTTCACAGGTTCTGCCTGGCACTGAACTTCAGGATCATCCAGAACCTTAACCGTCCCCTGTGAGAGTCCTGTGAATATCTTGTAACCAGGCGTCTGTATAATTGTATGGAATCGCGGTCTACAAATAAGACAAGCCTCTGGCCTTTCGGCTCAGATTGTTTATCGAGTACCCTCCAGTTCTCAGTTTGGAACCCTGGATTAAGGTCTGCAGTCCATTTCAGCAGCTCTTCCTGATTCTGGGAAATTTTGTCCCTAGTCCGGAGAGCCACTTTAACAGGCTTGGGCAGGTTCCTGGCATCAGTAGCCTTCAGCCTGGCCCCTGATTTCAGCCTGTGGTTGTCAATGGCTTTGGTGAGCCATTGACCAGACTGTTGGTCGGCACTTGCATAAATAAGTGTACTGCCACTAGTCTGTAGGATTTCAGGTGTGGTAGTTCTCCATTTGGAGTCCTATGTAACACCTCCCCCAGTGCTTCCAGAATTTAATTCTGGTCATCTTCGGTAAGCTTATCCTCAGGATAAGTTTCCTTGAAGATAGCCACATTTATATTGGTCAGAGCCTCCTTGTAATTGCCTGGGCCTTTTCGGAGTTCTGGCCGTTTCTGTAGGGGTACCGCCCTCCGACTTTGGCTTGTTAAAGGTGCCGTTGGGTGTTTCTCCATGCTTGGATGAGCCTGCATTTCCTGGTTGCTGACTGCCCCCAGTTCCTGCTTTGCTTTCCCCATCTCTTGCCTTTCTTAACTTCCATCTAGCGCATCCAGACAGGGCTTTCTTCGCTAGACGCAGTCCACCTATTCCAGAGACTAGGTGTCCCAGTCCTTCTCCTACTGCAGGTATGCTAGAGGTACTAGCCCCCTGTAGTGGTATGGCAGTACTACTGATTCCAAATAGAGTTTTTGGTTTTGTCTCAGATAGGTTCTTAACCACTGTTTCGTCCCTGCCTTTGGCTGAAAATTGAACAGCAAGTTAGCTGGCTGCACCCGAGTCCCTTAGCGATTCACCAGAGTTTCCAGCCCCCTGCTGAAGCATTTCACATAGGGATCCACTTTGAGGGGGGTCTCTCTTTAGTTTAAGGTCCTTACGACCGGTTTTGTTTTTAGTTTCATTCATTTTGGTCCCATGAGTTTTGGGGATTTAAAAGGTTGCCACCAGCAGCACCCCATACGGGTGGAAGGCATAAATAGAACGGAGTGCTGCCTGGTGCCCTGAGGGGATCATTTAAGACATTGGCTAATTACGACCCCAGTGCCATGCAGCCCTCAGCACGGTCCCTCACACCTTGGCTTAGGTGGTCTGGTCCTGTTGAATGAAACCCTCACAAGCATCCAGGATCCAGATTGCCTGTTCAGGGGGAGAGGGGTATCCCAGATGATTAATGGGAGTGCGACACCTGTCAGTCATGAGGTTGTGACCAGGGCACCTCACATGAGAAAGTCGTCCTTGGGGGTAGCTTATGAGCTCCCCATTCCCACCTTTCCACATGGGTTGGCCAAACCGCTTTAGAGTGTTGAGCCCTAAGGCTTGCAGCACCTTATCAGTACTGTAGGGAGACAACTCAATTAGCCAAAATTACCCCCATAGGAGTGCTCTCCTGCATTTGTCCTGGGTACACTGTAGTGTAACCCAAGAATCATTATGTCGCCGTGTGGGAGGCTCTGGTCATAAAGCCATTGCCCTTTATGGGAACTTGGCTGCAAGCCCCGGAAGGTCATACTGATTCAGACCCCCAAGACTGTCGTTGCCCGTTGGGACCATGAGGAGGTCTCTCAAAGCTGTGTCCCAACACATGCCTGGTCCATGATGCGTCCCCACCAAGACACAGCCGTGGCTTGGTCATCCTCACTGAGGATGGCGTCATTACCACCTGTAACATGTGACATAAAAATGTGACAATTACCCCGGGATCAAACCTGGACCTCCTAACTATAACTTAGTCTTTATTATTATTATTATTATTATTATTATTACTATTATACTATTTTTCTTTTTGTACTAGCTTTGTAATTGGCCTCTGTGCTGATAAGT